GTTAGTTATTTTTTAAAGGTGATTTTGTTTTGGGGTTTAGTTAGTTATATTGGGTAGTTAGTTAGTTGTTATTTAGATAGTTATTTATTTAGTTAGTAGTTATTTAGTGTAGTTGTTAGTTGGTTAGTGGTATTTGGTTAGTTGTTATTTAGTTAGTTGTTGTTAGTTATTTGTTATTTAGTTGGGTTAGTTATTTAGTTGGTTTAGTTGGTATTTGGGTTTAGTGGGTTATTTGGGTTAGTGGTTAGTTTTTGGTATTTGTTAGTTAGTTATTTAGTTATTTAGTTAGTTAGTTATTTAGTTAGTTATTAGTTAGTTAGTTAGTTATTTAAATGATCGGAGATTTCCTCTTTGTACATTCGAACCGTTCGGTCAATTACTACTGGGATCCATTCCTCAGTATATCGCGTTGTGGATGGCTGGCGCACAACACGTGTCCTGTGTTACATTTCTTTTTCTTCTCTGGCGTCCTGCATGTTTGTTCTGTCGGCCACACCCCTTTTAACATGCTGTTTATGATTATGTTAATGGTTGTTGCAGTTCATCGTCGCCACTTAGTATTTCTAAGAGCATGCATCTTTCACATTGCACGATACGCCTGTGAGACTTGGACACTTACTTAACAAGCTGAACAGCGCATAAATGACTTTTAATACAAATGTTAAAGACGGTTTCTAAGAATATCACGGGTAAAGAAAAGAACAAATGCATCCATACTTAAAGAACTGAAAACTGAAGAAGATTGCCTAATAAAGACGACAAAACCCAGAAAATTGAAATATTTTGTCATCACGACCATTTTGAAACATCACGAAAGTTTAGAGAGAACAATATTGGAGGGGTAAATGCCTTGGAAGAGAGGAAAAGGAATGCCAAAGAGAAAATGGGTGCAGTATGTGGTGGATGATGTGGTGGGTGTATCGGATGTGGGACAACTTGCTTGTGATCGAGAAGATTTCCGGAGGGTTGTTGTGGGGGGCAAGCTTCAGCAAAGGACCTGCTACTGATTGACTGTATGCGCAAATATTTGTATACACATGATCTTTCAGTGCATCTTATTCGCCCTATGTAACATCGTCTGTATCTTCTGGTCTCCTTTTCTGTCTTCTCGTTAAATCTCCCTGACCCCTCAGTGATATAGCTACCCGTCTTCAGATGTACACACCCACACACAGACGCACAATTCGATATTTCTGTTTCTGTATGCATTTCTTGGCGGTCCTGTTCACGTTTCCTGTCCTATCTAGGCACTTTCTCAGTGCGGTCTAGGTGAGAGGGGTGTACTGCTTTCTTCGAAAAGAGTCTCTCGTGTGACCTAGGCTGAGGCTTAGAAGGGGGGAGAGTGGTGTTGAAGGTGGGTTAGGGCTAATTCTACATGTTCTAGAGAGGTTGAAAGCAGTGTCGTCGTGTAGTATAGAACACGCGACATCGGCGCCGATGTAATTGGATGGAAAACAACGTGACACCCCTCCGACATAAAAAAATTGAGAAAGTATTAATGAAAGGTCATGGAGTGTGTAGATGGGCCGGGAAATGTGAACAGGTCCCACTTGGCTGTTGCAGGGAGCCGTGTCGTCTGTTCGCTCAACTGTAGCGACCGGGACAGCGCATACAACAACAACAACAAACTCACCTACACTATCAGCCAGGTCAACCTGACCTTATTTAGGTAAGTTTCTTCTGACTCACACAGGGGTCCGCCTGTCGATGAACGGTTATGTTATTTTCTGTCACGGATCGTTTCTGTGTTTGGTGTCTGTCTCTTTTAGTGACATGGACTGTGTCAGTGTTGGGTTTCTGTCTCTTTTACTGACATGGTCTGTGTCAGTGTTGAGTGTCTGTCTCTTTTAGTGACATGGACTGTGTCAGTGTTGGGTGTCTTGTCTCTTTTACTGACATGGATTGTGACAGTAGTTGACGTATCTCTTTTTTACTGACATGTACTGTGTCTGTGGTGAGTGTCTGTCTCTTTTACTGACATGGACTGAGTCAGTAGTCGACATCTGTGTCTTTAACTGACATGGACTGAGTCAGTAGTCGACATCTGTGTCTTTAACTGACACAAGTTTGCACGTTGGCTTTTTGTGTCACGTCACGATTAATTAACATTTTATGTCAGGAACTTTATGACATGACGATGTTCATTGTCTTTTTCCAAACAAGAGTACAAATTGTTTTCAGTAACAAGTAAAAGATGAGTAACGAGTTGAAGATGGGTGGTAGGCAAATACGGGGGTAACTGACGAGGAGGGGTTGGGTGAATTAGGAGTAGAAGATTTGTAGGTGACTCGAAGATTGTCAGTGAATGGTGAATACTTCTTTCTTTTCGTTATCACTGCTAGTAATTTCCAGATGGAAACGCTACAGGTCTCTTTAAAGGCTGTGACGTGTCACATATCTTCCACTGATCCACACAGTTTGGTTTTGACAGGAATGCTAACTGACCAGATCTGGGATCTCTCCTCTTTATGTGGCGAGAAATTAATCCCATAAACTGTAATTAAAAAGCTCTGGAGTATCTCCATGCGTGGGAGTCGCCGTGGCGGAGCGGCTAGACGCTCTCCTGCAGATCGGTAGGTCGATAGTTCGCTCCCTGGAGGAGCCAGGCTTTTTTCCAAAAATGACTTTGGCTTGCAGGTCGACCAGAGTGGGTACCAGATGCAGTCCCGGGAAGTAAAGGCGGTCAGCGTGATGCTTACAACATCTCCCACCTTGTGCCGATTGGTCTATAAAATACAGGTCTAGCCCTATACGCCTAAAGGTGTGGAGAATGGTTCTTTACTTTATACCTACTTTATTTATCTACATGCTTTCTTTAATAATTTCACAATTGTTAGCCGACTTTTCTTGATTATTGCCGCGACACCCCTGACAGACGCTCATGGCACCCTGGGGTGCTTCGGCACCCAGTTTCAGAACCGCTGCCTTAACGCATCGTTAGCCCTACCCGGTGACGTCAGCAGCACGGCCCATCAGCTGAAGCCGGTCGTGTACTAATTGATTCATTGATCCTATCAGTCCTACACAAAGCCTATTCATCTTTGTTGATGTCGACTGCCTGATTTGAGACGCAGCAGGGACTCAAGGAGTCACATTTCGGATGTCAAGCCATCACACGAACAGTTCCAAATGTCACGTTTACTGGAAGGTGGAAGTTGTGGAAGACGTGTTTGCACATTTTTGCCGCATTAGTATCCATCCCTGTAACGCCGGGCTAGCTAGTTCTGTTGGTTAAACCTGACTGCGCGTCGACAGGGTGACGAACTCCTTGTGGTCCGGGTTCACACCCAGGGGGTAGGCAGAAAAGCCACATTTTTTCCAGATTTACGGTATCTATCATGGAATCGTCAGCTCTATGGCTAAGTCGATGCGAACGCTTCGTAATGCCGGAGTGCCGAGCTCGATCCCAGCTGCGGGTTATGCGCCTTGCGTTGGTTTCGACAGTGGTATCAGGGGGCCGACCGTCCAGAAGCAATGGAAAACTACTGATCGTAAATTTGCCTAGAAAAATCACACAACAGCCAGGGGCTGCTGGGGTTGGTTCTGCAACTTCATGTAAAGGATACACAACCAACCTTAACATCATAGAATCAAGGCCGAAGGGTTGCGATATCTATAGTACCGAGCCAAAAGGTT